GTTTTCACTACCACAATTCTCTCAACATTCTTTTCAAGCTACGGCATGATGTTTTTTTAAGTGGCCAAACTAGTAGTTTGGTCCACAAAAGGCTAACACAGATATACATATATTCATAAATGAAAGAAGAATGGAAAAAAAGCAAGCTTTTGCAACTACAGCATTGATCCACTCAGAAAAGACATAAATGTATATTCAGGGTTTCTGCTGTTTTAATTAAAGTACATTTAAGACTTTTTAAGACCAAGTAAAGAAAATATAATAAATTGAATAGAGCACAATATGTCAATGGTCTGTAAATGTCTTGTATAAGCATCACTTCAGAGTTTGTAAATACAACTTCCAATATATCTCCTTTAGTTTTTAATACATTTTTCGTGCAATGTATTAAAGCCCAACCACTAGAATATGGAAATAATCATCAGTATTTTCATCTTCTGTTCCAGTGCAAATGTCTTAAGATTCTTAAATCAAGATAAATTTACTTGAGAAGCAAAATGACAAGATAAGAAGTCTTGTTTTATGAGAAATGTTTAATGTTTAATACAAGGTTTCATAACCCATAGACAGATATTTATGTTTTAAGCATAAACTCACTTAATTTTGTTCAATTTTTCAGAGCATAAGAATTCATATGTTCAGTTTGCATCTTAAGTAACTGTATCTTGATTTAAGGATGTTTAGATATTTGTATTGGAAAAGTGCATTCAACATTTAATGGCATGACTGAATTTCATGTAAGACTTTCTGCCCTGGTTTAAGGCCTTTTTAAGCCTTAATTTGTCTAAGGACAAATTAGCACTTTCTAAGACCTTTTGAAGACCTACAGAAACTCTGATGTAAAATAGACTTCCATGAGTTTTGTCCTTCTGAAAATTCAGTGCTTGTGTTCATACAGCCTGCAGAACGATTTCAGCCAATCACAGCAGTTTCACAACTATCTGGTTGTAATTGAAACACATTGAACAAATATTTGGGTGCGCTTCAACTGGTAGAGGCCCATATTTTTTTTTTTAATTCCATGCCAATTTGATCCTTATCTGCAGTTTGTCCTTTTAAGGACTGAGTAGATTAAATAGAAAGTTTTTTGTAGGGTGAACATTTTTTTCATTGTGAGGCCTTAGGCACTTAGCCAACACAGTTTAGCATACATAATGGGTGGAGAACCCAGAGCGATGAAAACACTTTGCGGGTTAAGGTGCGGTCACAAAAGTTAGCTCCATGTCTGCATGGGAAGCTTTTACACATCCATACGAGTCTCCCGATTTAACAGATTCCTATTTCTGACTGGTGGTTTTAATAAACAGTATGGCTGTTTGTATGTGTTGATGTTTGATATGCACATCTTTCTCTTGATATGCAAATGTTCCGACCTTTATGAGTCATGACTAACCTATTTCCATATTGTTGACCTTACAAGAACTCCATAGCACAATCCATAATCAATTTCAGTCATTAAAATGGAATA